CCTGTTTATGATAGTGGGGTTGAGAGGGAAAACGTGCCCTTTAGTTTTGAACAGCTCCTGTAGCAGTTGGAAATTCCTTGAGCAAGAAGACTGGACATTAATGCCTCTTCATCCATTTACAGCCTTTTACAAAAGCAACTCTGTGTGACACTCAAACGTTTTATAAATACCATCTGAACTGAAATGGGGCTGCTGAAGCCAGCTACAGACTCGGCAGGGAGGTGAACATTATCATCCCGCCTGGGTATGGCTGAACAGTTCAGGCAAAAGCTTAGTTCTGTAATCAGTTACAAGGCTGTTTCTACTTCAAGTTTTTCCAGTTGTATTAAATTATGTATTCAGGATTCTATAAATCAAAGTCTGTTCCTGTCTCTGGAAGAACTTGGTGTCAGTTTGTGACAGCTGAAGCAGCATTGATGTTTTTTTGTAGACTTTTTCCACTGCCTGTGTGAGCTTATTTACCCCCTTGGCCAGACACATTCTTTGAATGTGGTATCAGCTTCAGACGTTCAGTGCCAGTAAAATGGTTCTTCATTCTCTTGGAGATAATGCTTGGTATTCTTCCTTCTGACCTCCAGAAACTGTATCCCAGGGAGGGAGAAGTCAAGGCTTCAGTTGGCTGCAGCACAGCAGCTTCCCAGCTGGTGTTAAGTAGCAGGTTTGTCAGACTCAGGAGACAAGTTCCAGTTGGAAATACAGCCCAGCTGATCCTCATCCATGAGGACAGTTCATCCAGGCTGTCCCTGATGCAGTGTCTGCTTTCTGCAGACAGGGAAATTTCTCCTCATTTCCCGGCGTTTTCCATGATTTTGAATCCTTTGTGACACACTCTGGTTTTTAACTGTGGGTTCTTGTTTCCATGCAGCCTTTCAGTGTTCCCGCCGGGGAGGGGAGTTGAAGATTTCCCTGCGCAGTGACGGAAGGGTGGACATTGCAGGGCAAACTGCTGTGGTGCTACAGGGAACCCTGACTTTCTGAAGGAACTGGCACTGATCTCCCACACCTTCCTGGAACTCCTCTTACGCTGATTTTAGCTCTAGGCAGAGAATCCCCACTGCTGTCAAAAGTCTTTGATTCCTTGTAGTCCATTTTAAAAATGGCTTGCAAATACTTGTGATGTTCAAGATCTTTGGTGTTGTTTTCTTCACTCTTAATCTTGCCACTTCATATATCACTGACCTCAGAGGATGCTCAAGGACAGCTGTCTTGTTTTTCTGCTTCTTGGATTGAACTGCAAACATCTGTGATTGATAAAATAATCAATCTTTTCCCAGAATCAGAATTTTCCATAAAAACTGACTTCACTTCTTTAATTTCTTTAAAAATATTTTCTCTGCAATATATTAAAATGACAGTCATGTTCATTAATTTACTTGAATTAAAATATGACAAGATACAAATGTTTTGGAAATGTGCCTCTGGTTCTCTTCTGAGCAGCATTTTTCAGAAATGAAAGGCATTGCAGTTGCAGCTTAGTCAGTGCTTCTGATGAAAGGGTTAGCTGAGGGATTTCCAAGGTTGTAAACTCTGCAACGAAAGGTTACCGTTACAGCAATGCCAGATTCTTTGCAAAGGCTGAAGATTTGCTCCTTAACTAAGATTTCCTTCTGTAACTTTATCCCTGAAGTGCCACTTCAGATTTTGTTCCCACAATGTGGGTCTTCCCACGTGGGTTTGTTAGGAATTTGAACTGTTTCAGTTTCTCCAGCTAAAACTCTGCTGTCCCTTTCAAGCCATCTCTGTCCTAAGCTTTGCTTCAGTTCCTTCTCTTTGCAGTGTTTCAGGGTGAAGTGTTTTGAACCCAAAGACGCTTCCATACTGTGGGAACAGCTGAATGTCAGCCCCTTAGAAATGAGGAAGAACTTAGTTGTGCCAAGTTCCCTTATTTCCAGTTATTTTGAGTTTTAGCATAACTTGGAACTTAATATCTTATTGAAGTCTGAGGAGCTGGAGGCAAGCAACATGCTCAAATTGCCTCTTTATCCCTAAAATTGACACTTTGACCCTTAATGGCCAAAGTATGTCTAAAGTATGTCTTAATGGCCACAGTAAGTCTAAAAATCACCAGTTTTGCCCTAAATCCCTGATTTTAACCCCCATTTTCCCTACTCTGACTCAGATTTTCCCTTTTAACCCCCAAATCCCTCACTTTCCCCCCAAACATACCCCTTTAACGCTAAAATTGACATTTTTGCTCCAAAATAACGAAGTATGTCTCAAAATTGGGAACCTTATCTATTAACTACAGACACATTCCTGTATAGCCTCCCACCAGAGCGCTGGGGATTTTTCTGTCTGAACAGAAACAGAGACAAACTGGTACTAAAATATACAAGAAAGTGCTTTGAGCAGCAGAGATACTGATTTGGTCAGGTAATTTCGGTAACAAGTATCTTTAAAATTTATGGGCTTTGTTATTAGTCCTTTTGAGTAAGCAGGAGGTGCCAGAAAGTTGAGGTTTGTGGACAATGAAATCTGCAAGGAGCCAACTTAAAATGCCCCGGGATTGTCTCTTGTCCAGCTTGCATGGACCGGTCACTTCGGCCAGGAATGTCCAATCCTGCTGGGAATGCCTTGGACCACCATGTAATGTCCATTCCGTGCTGGCAGGGACAGGGAATGGCAGAGCCAGCTAAAGCCTGGTGTTCCCTGTGCTCCAAAGGCAAGGGATGCAAAGGTGGGACGTGCTGTTGGTGCAGACCCTGCTCCTCCAGGACCGTGATTTTCCCTCTGCTCAGCTCTTCTGTCCCTTCACTTGGATTTTGCCCGGAGCTGTGGAATGCCAGGAGCATCACAGGGCCGGTGTCCCTGTTGGTCCCCGAACGCCCAGGACTGGACACCCAGAAAATAACAGGACTATGGAAAGCCATAGGCTCTGGATTAAATCCTGGTTTTGTAATAGTAACGGTGGGTGGGGCAAGGGGCGGGGGCTGGGCGGGGCTGTGGCTGTTACAGGAATGGCTGGGGCGGTGCCACGATCGGTGTTTGGACTCACAGAGGGATCCAGTGCTGCGTTTGCGGGGCTCGGAACTGAGCCCGAGTCCTGCGATTTTGGCTCACAAGCAGAGCCCCAGAGCTGTCTTTTGGGGGCTCAGAACCAGAGCCACTTGCTCAGTGTTTGGGGCCTTGGACAGTTGTCTTTTGCATGATGTGATTGTCCCTTGGTCAGAGAAGGCACAGCATGAAGCAGGAGGGGGAGCTCGTTTCGTTTCTGTGAGCTCCAGGCTTGAGAGCTGCCGAGCAGCGCCCTGGGGAAGGGATGAGACATCTCCTGGCACTGCTGGAGCGCAGGGACGGAGCGGAGCCCGAGCGGGAGGCGAGGCACCATCCTCGGACACGCTGCGGGACGGGAGCTGGGGGGGCTTCAACCATTTGGGAGCTGCCCTCCCTTTACTCTTCCACCAAAGCCCTTTTTTTTTTTTTGTGTCAGCACATTTCTTTGGGCCAGCCTTATGTAGCTCCTCCCACACCAAAATATGTATGAGGACAGAAGCAGTGCAGCAAACTGATTGTGTGGAAGCAGCACTCTCCTTCTCAGCTCTCCGGGGTATCCCATTCTGTCTCTCTAGTAGTGAGCTTGCAAAATCAAAAGTTTCCAGCTCCAGTTCGCACAGAAGAATGTGCCGGGAGAAATCTTGTTCAGACTGCTGCTCTGCAGCTTTTAATTTAATTAGCCCTGAGGATAATTAGCCCTGAGGATTATAACTGAGGGATTGCATGTTTCCGCTTGAGTGGATTTCAAATAAGAGTTTGTATAAGGAAGGAGAAGGCCGTCCAAATCTTTCTGTACTGACACTTTTTATTTGACGGTGGTGACAGTTTCAACTTTGGATCTGCACTTTGGATGGTGTAGAGAGCGTCTTTCACTTCTTTTTCGAGTCCACACCGCCATCGTGTGGTGTTTCCATGGGAGGTGAAAGCGTGCAAGCAAAAGCCAAGAGGTTTTTGTCCTGGCACCGTTAGTGAGGGACTAGTTAGTGCAGGGCTTTCAGTTTTGGATCCTGGCTCTGGGAGAGCTGAACGAATGTGATCCTGCATAAAGCTGGGAGGGAGGGCGAGTGGTCTCAGTGTTGGCTGTGCAGTTTCCAGGCTGCCAAAGGAAAGTGGATCCCAGCAGTGGCTCTTTCTTCCACCGCCTCCTGTGCGGGACGAGCCGCACGCGGGCGCGGGCTGCGCGCGCCCGGGGATCGCCTCAGGCCGCCATCGCCGCCCCCGGGGGTGGCGCCGGTCGTGCCCTGGAGTGGGGGAGTGGCTTGAGGTGTCCGCTCCTTCGGCGGGACAGG